GATGAACTGCATCTGGACGGCCAACATGGTGTAGGCCCTCGTAATGATAACCGTGAGCGATTAATTCATTTGTGTGAGAATGCTGGCTTATCTCTTGCGAGTACTAATTTCCGACACAGCACGTGCCGGATGGTAACTGGGCGCCTACCAGCCCCGAACCAGCTACGGACGCAAATCGATCACATTGCGATAAGTTACCGATGGAGAGGCTGCGTCCAGAGCTGTCGCTCGATTGGAGCACATGTGTGGCCACTTGTATGTGCCGACATGCGGGTGCGTTTTGGTTGACGCCCACGACCATACTGTAAGTGCATTGATACCAGCCAACTGACAAAGCCAGCTGTTCTGAATGCCTATCAAAGTACGCTGACATGCGAGTCGAGTAAGCGCTCACTGGAGACAGTTGAAGGTCACCGGTCGCATGTTCACCAGAACATATTAGCAGCAGGAAAATCTTCGTGTGGTGAGTCTAATAATCACTATGGATATTGGGCCTCTACACATTCTATGGAACTTATCGATGCTCGCCGGCATATTCCGGCTGAAAGCGAACACAATGAAACTCGCAAAGAGATCCAGGCAAAACCCCATGCTAGCATGAAGAGAGACCGCGAACCCTGGTGATCTCATCGTGCATCAGAGATGGAAGCGTTTGCTTCCCTCGGTAACCATACTAAGTTATTCCGGCTGATACTGGAAACGGGCAGCAAAAGAACTGGTGTTAGTGAAATTATGCGTGACGAGTGTGGAAAACCAATCCACAACTTGTCAAAATGTTTAGAGAGTTGGGCTGAACAATTTAAATGTAAATGCAATCGGTTGTAATTTTTAGATTTCTCGCCTGAGACTGATCGCCCCGCTCTCTCGGCAGCCTGTTTGGATCCACCTTCTCGCTCTGAAGTCGAACGTAAGATCGGAATGTTAAGGTTAAATAAGGCTGCGGGACCAGATGATCTTCCTCCAGTCCTCTTCAATTTCAAATGACCTGCTCATGTTGATGATTTAAGCGAGTTAATAGTGAGTGCGGTAGCAAGAAACTGTCCCAACCGACTGGGGCCCGGTACGTCATAGTCCCAATTTTCAGGTGTGTCTCACGATCGACATGAGACAACCATAGAGGAACCAGTCTGATCTCCATCTCCTCTAAATTGCTTGCCTCTGTCTTCCTTCACAGACTGACTGGCACTGGCGAAACCCTGGTTCGTGAAGACCAAGCCGGGTTTCTTCGACGTCGTGACTGCACTGACCACAACTTTACTTTGCGTCAGTTGTTGAAGCACCGTCACATATATTGGCGGCCCACTGTCGTCGTGTTCCTCGATATAAATGTGCATTCGATTCGGTGGGTAGACGTGCGCTTTGGGACTGTCTAGTCGGGAAATGTGTGCCCGAGAAATATTTAAATATTATTCCAGCATTATATGTGCTTATCTCGGGCAGAGGGCTTGGGCAAGCTGTCGTCGCCTTTCAATATCTCCAGCGCTAAGGGGCAAGGGTGTCCGCTCTTCTCTTCCTCTTCAACTTCGCTACTGACGAAGTCATGGAAGTTCTGTTCACAGGACACGAGTTAGAAGGTGCATATCTGCTCCCAGGAGAACGACCTATTTTCTTGGAATAACCGGACGATATTGTCCTAATATGTGACAGCTCAAATATGCGCCACGCTGCAATGGACAGATTAGCACTAGCTGTCCATCACTTCGGGATTTGCTTCACGCCCTCGAAGTGTAAAGCTTTCTTCCAAGATTGGACTGGACCGCATCCCGTGATGACTCATGTTGGGTATAAGCTAGAGGTCGTACAAGAATTCAACTACCTGGGAAGTTGTATCAGCGCACGTGTGATTGAAGATAAGATCCTGAGCCGTTAGCTAAACTTCAAGGCGATTGCGATAACCCTCACCACTTATGGCCTCGGCGCGACATCACTCTCGTCCTGAAGGGTAGAATGTACCATGCAGCGGTACGTTCGACCCTACTGTACGGTTGTGAAACCTGGACCCTTAGATCAACGGACCTAAAGTGGCTATTTGCGTTTGACCACAGGCGCCTTCGCAATTTTGCTCAAATCTGGTGGGAACACCGAGTGAGCAAGGAGCGTGTTTGACACCTTGTTAACGGCATAGGAAAAAGAAATGGATCGCTCAGCACCGTCATTTTACGCACAAGGCTCCGATGGCTCTGCTACGTGGTACGCATGTCAGCCCAACGACTCCCGCGACGTGCGTTGTTTACGCGCCGGATTGTGGATGGTAGGAGAAGAGGGGTGGCCAAGCGAAGACTTGGTTGAGAGGAATGAAGGCCCTCACTTCGAAGATGGCCTCTCTTGGAGCATCATGGCTCACTGTTTGGGGTCCGAGAGACCATGAACACGTTTGGCTGGAAACACTTGCTGATATGTCTAAGAGCCGACCTCAGTGGCCTTCTTGCTGTGAGTTTCTTTGTACCAGCCCACTTTTCTTAGCCTCTCCCTCCAACCATGTTCTCAGTATTTAACGTTATATATCCTTGCATAGTAATTTTTTGTTGCTACTTAGTAGCCGGCTGGTAGCTTACCAGAACGATGCCTATTCTTTACCGGTAGCTCAGCTGGCTAGCATCTGTTGCGTTTCCCCTTTTTCTTTTATGTTTTTAGCGGCAAAGTAGCTGAGGAGTTTCCCACATCTAGCTAAAGTGTATATAATAGAAATAATGCAAGCAGCATCTTCTGGATTCCTTGTGTCAGGGCTCGTTACAGAAGTAGTAATGCAAAAACATGAAGCGGACATACTGTTCATACTCAACCCAAAGTTGTCGATCCGATACGTCGATAATATATTCGTGATACTGAAAGTAGCCAGGTAGAGGTTGCATACCATTTGCCAGATGATGCCATTGAAGACATTCATTTTACCATGGAATGGGATATGTAAGACCAGCTCCCATTCTTGGATGTGTAATCACCAGTACGATTTACGGTGAGTTGCTAACATCGGTTTAGAGGAATGAAACCCACACCGACCATATCCTAAAATACTATAGCCATCACCCGAATTGTCACAAAATAAGTTGCGTGCGTATTCTCTTTCGTAGTATTGTAACACATTGCGGCAGTCTTGATAGAAAACAGAAAGAAACTATATATTCAGATCATTTCACCTTAACGGATATCCGCATAGCTTCGTCCGGCGATGTCTAAACGACAAAGCTACTACCGCTAAGCCTACTCAAACGAAAAGCAAAAAGAATCATTCTACACAACGTAAAGAACATATCCGAGATGACAGTAAGAGTGTTTAAGCAGCACGGTTTTACAGTGGCCCACAAAGAAACGGCCACATTATGGAGGACCCAGTGGAAACACAAAACTAGACCTGGAACCCCAGAAAGAGGAAATGTTGTTTACAAGATACGGTGTCAAGATTGCGATAAGAAATATGTAGGTCACACAAGAAGGCGACTGTCAACAGGAATACAGTAACGCAAGAGACCTTGCAAGAACCACTACGCTCTCACTGATTTCAACACATACGGATGAATCAGGACATCGCTTCGATTGGAATAACACGGAGGTCCTAGCAGAGGGAAATACACGAAAAGTAAGAGTGTTTCTTGAAGCATGGTACTCCACGAAGTACTCGCTAAACGTGTACATCAAGATTGACCCCATTTACTAAACGTTAAGACGGGGAGAAATAAAGCTTAAAAACCGTTGAGAGCAGCTAAATTTGCCATCAACAGCACAACCGCAACAGTCAAAGTAAAGCCATCAGAGAGATCGTCCTTGTCTATTAGAGAATTTGGGCAGACGGGTGGAGGTCACGGGGCCCAGTCGAGGAGGTCAATGCAAGACTCACTTGCTGGTCGATCACAATTCCACTACCAAGTCAGCGGACTACACTTGACTAAGCACCGCACTGAGAAAATCACTGAGGGAAAATATGAACCCAGAATTGAACACCTCGAGCCACCAACGTATTAAGTCCTTTTATACATTATAGCACTTTGGTGGTTCCGCGTAAGTAACAGCATTACATAAATTGTGGTCTACAAATTGTGTGGTACACACCAAAGCTACCATAGCTTCGCAAAAATTGTATAGCTGCTAATCTTCAGCAGTAAGGTTAACAGTAGACTGGACCTTATAAACATTTGTGTAAGCAATAAAATTTATCTCGGCTAAAAGTGACGCGAAAATATGTGGGCATTCCACAATAACATAAGTTCTTAATAAACGGAAGACATTGCAATATTTGAAATCTTCTTTCTAAATGATGTGTCGCTGTTTATGAGTTTTACTGTAAAGCAATTCACAAACATGGTTTGAAAAGTAGAGGTAATCTTTTAGATGTAGATTTGACCAGAATCAACCAGACAACCTCCATCCCTTGCGCCCATATTTTGTCTGGTATGAACAAAGAAATGTGTCCAGAAAAGTTAGTGTATCACTGTTTCCGTTGTTCGTTGGCGTTACAATGAAAGTCTGCGTTTTTATCCTTTTTCTTATCCATATTTTCTCGTCTTGTTTGTAAGTTTCTGTAAGCGACGTAAGAGTACTAATAGACATTTTGAACAACGCGGGCAGCTATAAACATGTGTTATAAAAAACATCAAGCACCCCTTTGGCAATAATCTACCACGGTATGTTTTTAGAGGGATAAATTAAACAGAAAGGTTACACTGCGGGTACAACAATCCCCAGTGATGCAGTACTATTATTTTATTACTAACCATAGAAAGGGCAACTGTTTTCGCATCAAGCATTTACTGTTTATTAACTAGTTTCCTAGATCTGTTACCTAGTAACGTCTTTAAACTCTATATTGACCTTGACTATCACAGTGAAATGTAAGGACCATGTGAATAAATGATCGTCCCCTTGATGCTTCACCGGGCACTCATCTAGTAGCGTGTCGTTCATGAAATAGGTTTTCCTATGAGGTTATTTATTTAACATAGCAATTTACACTTAATAACTGTTGTAGATAATTGCATCGATTGACTTCCTTTGTCTCATATCAGAGCTGAACCTAAGCTTGGTACAGGATCTGCCGGCACAAGAAAGCCACGCTTTGGTTTATCAAACGATTTGCTGCCATGCGATGAAAATCCAAACCTGTACTTATCGCCCAAACTCCCACAACACACTCCAATAACTGATATAATCCGGCGCAGCCCACCTGTCATTCCACCAACGCTGCTCAAGACAAGTGGAAGCACAATTAGCTATCTACCAGTCACATCTACTGCAAAGGTAATTTAGTTTCGTACTTATATTTCCTGTGTAGAATGCGACTGCTACTTTACAAGGTATTGCACACACTATGTGATGTTTAAGCAAAATAAAAAATGGTTGTGATTGGTTGAGTGACCTCACAGGGTATACCATACACGAGTTTAATTTGGCATCGTTCTCACTTGTTTGCGAATGGATAAAGTGTCTGAACACCCGAGTGCCCTCATAATACTGCCATCGTTATAGCAGCCTTATCCTGGTGATTGAATGCTACTTCTTAGCCGCTAAACGTGTTAGCATCTTGCAGCAAAGCATTGATCAGGGTCATTAAAGGCTACTGTTCAGATTCGCATTGGAACTACGTAAACAGCAAGATCACAGTTGTTATTGCAACGTATTTCTTATGTTGCTATCATTTAACTACTTTACACAATTTTAAATGTTTATATAATTCGCGCGTGCTGCCTTATTTTCATATTTTACCGGAAGTTTTCGCCAGGATAGTCGGGGATGTCGATCTGATTCGCGTAACTATAGCTCTGATGTCAGTGATCTGGAATGAGGATGCAGTAGACACGAGGAATCATTTGCTCCAAATGTGGTAATTCAAGTTACTAACCAACGCCAGTAATGCTGTCAACGACCCCTGTCTGTTTTAGTTGTATCCGTACTGCACATACTATTGGATCCGTATGATTCTCCAGTAATTTGTGTGCAATGGACAGGTCGCTTCTGCCGAAAAATAACCGACTTTTCCATCTAACGGGACAGCCTTTAAACTGCATGACTAAAAGTTTCGAAAATTAATGTATTTCCCAGCAAACTGTGCGTTAAACTTGGGCTTTGGTTGCACAAGAGCAATAGAGTAAGTAGTTTCAAGATAACTGTAACATACTCTTCGAAGTTTGCACATATCGCTCGTTTTGACACAGACCTGACAAAGCAATCTTGCTCCTCCTTACTGTTTAATGTATCCGTTTGAGTTCCTCTGGCCCTGAGCTCGATAAGGTTCCAGGTCAACTTACTCTTCATCCACTATACCCACAAACACTTGCCTGTGGTGGAATAACACTGCAAACAAGATTGGCGACCATGTTTGACCACATTTATCGATTAACAATGATTTTGTTAATTTCGTTAGCCATAATCCTGTCCTGCGCATTTCAGAGGGACGTATACGCCGGGAAGCAGAAACATAGTGTCGTAGGAATAACTATCGATCCATACTTTATTTAAGAATTTTGATCTGCTTGTTAACTTAGTCGTTATTATTTATGAGCCTGGAGAACGGCGGTGATATGGGTGCGCACAGTGTATCAGGCAACTCGCCACATCCCACACCTTCCGTAAAAGACCTAGAAGTACTTTCACGGGGTCATTTAAGTTCAATGGATAGAAGGAATAACATATTTGGAAACGGGCTACGCATGCTTTAGGCGCCCATACACAGCTTCTGCACTTCGTCAGAGGAGATGGCCATGCGCCTGTTCTCTCCCATCATAAAACCAATGCTGAAGGACGGTTCTCATGCGCCTATTGTCCAATCACTCGTAGCGCAATAGCAAATTCGCATGTGTTCAGCAAGTAGGTACCAGGCTTATTCCCAGTTAACAAGACATGACATACGATGACTGATGCGGGAAAAGCGAACAAGCGCCTACCTAGCAGCACTCGCGAGCACCGATGCAAGCTTGTTGTATCGGACCTGAAGCGTATAGATAACCCACTATTCTTCAAGTGTCGAGCGATAAAGCTGGAGCAGTTTGCTATTTTTAATAGTCGAAAAGAAATCGGTGTTGGGATGCAAGTGATTAGTAGATGCTCATTTTGAGCACATTGGATTTTGAGTACGCTTCAAAACAGAATAGGTAGTTACACAAGTGAACTGCGTTGACAGTACGTGGCAGAAAACGCTGTCCCGCCTATCTGCCTGATAGTATATCGATGGAGCAACAAAAAGCTAACCCATCAAGTCCACTAGTTACAGTATTTTCTGTTTCGTATCGTGATACTCTTCTAACCAGCAACAATTTTGGAGGGCTGGTTGTCTACTCGGTTACGCTGATTTAAACCTTATGTCACGCTACACAGATTGTGCTTGAATCCTATATGTACTCGTTAACTTGGGTTGCGTGTTCGCTTTGATTTACTGCATCAGTTGAGGGTCTTGCTGAATTTAATCGGAGCAGATACCGATCAAAATGGCGAAGGGAAACCGCATGTTACCGTGGACCGGACACGAAAGCAGATTAGTCTTCTGGATCCCAACGTTGAAATGGAAAAGCTTGGAACACAGTATCAAGGAGGAATCGCGGCACCTAAGTTGTTTGCGTTCGACGAAATCTTTACAGATGTTGATCCGCCGGTAAGTTTTGGAAATTTTATAAACCGCCATGCCTTGTTTGGAAGGAAAAACGGTTGTACACTTTTCGAATTTCGGCAAAATTTCAGTCAAATGCTAAATTTAGCTAATTACTTCGGGGATTGGCAATGCACATGTTGTTACTCGCAATCATCTTTATGTATTAACGTAAACATAGTTTAGTATATATAAACAAAATAACACGTAACTGATTGTGATATCCTGGCACTTACTCGTTTTCAAAATTGCATGACAACCCTCATGCAAGTAGCAAGAACAACTATTTTGTGCATTAACCAAAGTGAATAACTATAACCGATTTAAATGGTACCACCGCTGAAACGCGATTAGTTACTCTATATATACCTGCAATGCGTAATAGCCCAAAGGCAAGGAGGCCGATCGTGAGACGGAAGAATTAGGTGAAAATTGATTCCGACGAAGCATTAGAACCATGCGGTGACTTATCACACCAACAGTAGCCCTGCGACAACGTGAAACGAGCCAGTGTACGTTTAGGAGGGCAATATTGGTTGCGTTCGTTCATAGCAAAGGATGCACAAATATGTGCGAGAAATGCGAAGTACAAGGCAAAGTTAAACAACTGCTAATGCGTGCTTGTGAGATAACAGCGAGATGCAAAACTGGGCTAGCAAAATGATAATGGGAACTAGCCCATGGAAACAGTGGATACAGGCTGGATTTCCGGGGGAATGTGTCACATCTTATCATTTGTTCCGAATTAAGCACAATGGATAATACTTTGCATAATGAATGCAATGTTTTGCATGATATCGCGACGGAGACAGAAAATTCCATACTGGTTACTGTGTTGTTTGATAGCCAGTTGAACAAGGAAAATTTGCCTATTCTTCATAAAACTAATTTGAGTACAGATAACCCATGCTGACTCGAATCCAGGATACGGAGGCAATTGACTATACCTGTAGTCGATAGATGTCTACTTACAAAGATACGTTAGCCAAGTGATAAAATTGTCCTACTTCACTTGGAATCCACGTCTTTGAGCTCACTAAATTTGACCAGTATTAGAGAAGTATATTAAAAGCCATGACCATCGCAAATGAATCAATGCATCCAGAGAAACTAAAGCACCAGTTTTGTGGATATGCAGTTCTCAGCATGTTACGAGGGGTGTTCAAAAAGAAACCGAACTTTGTAACAGCGTGGCAACCGGCAGACATAGAGTGCTTCGACTACTTAGCGAAGGTAGAAGCTCGATTAGACAACCAAATGCCACGTGCCGTATTTTGTTCTGACTGTTCATCGGGGAGCTACATCCACTGGATTGAGCACGTGCACAAGTGGTTCTTCGGATTGATGTCAAAAATACAATGAAAGAGCTTAAAGAAAAACGCAAATGTGTGTAAAATGTTGCTAAAAAATTTGGCGAAATCTTTACAAAGTCATTACAGTTACTTAGCCAAGCATATGGGGCGTACTGTATAAGTCACACGCATGGCTATGGGCGTTGTAAGTGTTTGTACACGGCAGAAAGTCGGTCGGTGACGATCCCATGCGTGGGCGAACTTCCACATCAACAAACGATGACCATGTCGAGAGAGTTCGTGCTGTGATCCTTGGAAACCGCCGTTTAACTCTTCTATAGGTTGCTGACGAAGTTGTCATATTCGTAGGATCATGCCATTAAATTCTAGCGCATTTGAGGAATGCTGTGCACTGGAAGAAGTATGAACGGTGGGAAAACCAGACATGGATGTTGCGTCATGACAATACACAGATCAACGTATTGCTCCTTGTCCGCAGCTATCCATTAAAGCATCCCACGCCCATTGTGTTCCTCCGGACTAGCCCAAGCAGGCTTTCGCCTGTGGCCATAACTTAAAACCACGGTGAAAGATCATTGCTTCCAAACCATTGAGAAAGTTCAACACAATGCGACAAGAGACCTGCGCATCATCCCAGAAATTACCTTCCGGGAACAGTGTACTGCTAGTAGCGGGGAATAGTAATAGGGGCAAAGTGGTATAATGTTGTGCAATGCGCATTAAAGATGTTATTGCAAAAGTTCTGTTTGTTTTTGCACAACCCTCGTATGCTCATCTAGCTCAGCTGTTTAGGCAGCACTCAAATTTTTACCATATGAAGTAGTATATAGTGAAACTTCGATTCGCACCTCAGTTGAATGCTGGAAGCAACCTATCTACTTGGCCGTAAAGTCAAACAAACCAGGAACCTGAGTTTTTGCTTCTATATTTTCGCCAACTGAGTCATCGTATAGTAGATGTAACTCACTGACTCTGCGTGGTACACAAGACTGCAGGCCAGTCTAAGAAGGGAAGGTGCAATGGTTAAAGATACCAATAAGGATTTTTGGTTAGATTGTCATATTAGCGCCAGTCGGTTTCGCAGCACAAGGGATGGCTGGGTATTTAACACGCCATTTCTCTTTTGATTGCATCTGTGATTTCCTGCTCACATAACGCAACTGCTAGACAAGATGCAGTGTTTACTTTTCTAATAGGTGATGACAAGTGCAGTCACGAGTTGGATGATAATAACAGCTTTGTAACACTTGTAAAATCCTAGATCAAAAGATCCTACGTTATTACGCTACCATGCATCAAAATGCTAACCATATTGAAGTCATGTTCGATCAACATCCTCAAGTCGTGTATTCATTTGTCTGCACTACTCCAATTCCAGATGAACCTGTATGCTGCAGCCCTCACTGGAATTCTGCAGGCTGTAGTCAGTGGATCTGACGGTTGTCTGCTCTACTTCAGTGATGCTGGAGCCAGTGAGTACAACGCTGGCGCATTTTCTCCTTTTTGTGCTTTCAGTAGCGTTCCACCATAAAAAGTAATGTTAGCCCAATGAACCGTCAGTGCAAGAAGTCTAAAAGGAAGAATGGTTGATCGAATGGTTTAGATGACTTACTTTGCTCTCCATCAAACGAAATAAGCTAGTACAATCGTAATTAACCGCATTACTACTTCTGAGGGTCTAGTTGAATTCAAAACTGATAAGGTTGTTTCAACATCTTCTTGATGCACACTTAAGCTAAGGCTGCGATTTTTCGATCGGAACACCCTAATTTTGGGCATTTTAAATGTAATGGGCTTAATGACCTCGTAAATAATTCGCATAACGTCGAATTTCACTATTTCGCAAAGCAATTTTTATTCTCGCGAATTCATTAAACATTTATAATAACAGGAAACAGCTTGAAAAGCAATGGCTAATGAACTTTATGGCAAACTTGGAAGAACGACAAAATCTTTGCAACTTAGTGGCTTACATGGCACTTCTACTATACATACCGTAACCAGTAAGAATAGGCCGCGCAGTGAAAACGTGGACACACTAGGAACACCAGTCTCAGGCAAATGAGTCATTTAAAGTCTATACAATCCCAGAACGCTATTCTAAAGGGCTCGGAAAGTGCCTCTTAACCACGGCCAAAACATTCGCAGTCAGGGTCAGAAACCGAAATGTTTTGTTCTCTTATGTACGTCAGCGTGAGTTGTTCTACTGAAGTATAAAATGCGACCGGCGCTTATCGCCGCTGCTCCGTCTAACTAAAGGGTGGGTAAATTAGGTGCCGTGCTAACCAATAGGTTGTACAGATTTTGTAACTGCTTCCAGGTTTACACATGCTTTCAGTAAACGGTCGTTTTTCTAGTTGTGCCATGCAGTAGCCAACTACGGATTACATTTATTAAAAAGAATATTCTTCGAGCAACTAAGAAATACGAGCACCTATTCTTTTGGCCATAAAATTGAACAGACGTATTGGTACACAGGATTTTATCTTAGGTAATCCACATTACTCTTTAATACCTATGGAATAAAACCTGCAATACACACGCTTTATACGTTCCGTAATCAGACAGTTGCACAAAAAGTGTACGAATGGTACAGGCTAGATATATTCTCCTTTCACTTGGCCAAATTTTTTGATCTTTTCTTCCATTAAGTGATTTACTGCAAGATATTATCCAGTTGTATTCTTATCATCATTTCTGTCTTTTAATTCTAGTTTTGTATAAATGTAAACTACAACCGAGGCCATGCTTCGTAAATTCTTTTCATCCAGCTGGATCCAACCTTCTGCTTGTGGACCATAATTCAACGGAAAAAGTCGGAATGTTGTCTTGCGCAGTGTCTTGGTTATTTCGGCTCATAGCAGAGCAGACATCAAGGACCGGAGCTAGATTTTCAGTACGGATTTCAGCAGTTGAAGTACACGACCAAGATGATACCCTCCGTGATTTATTGGCTACAATGGTCCAAGGTAAGTATTTATTTTTTATTTGATTAGAGATCCAGAAGTATTTTCTCTTTGCACAGTAGACCACGATTCGTCAAGTCAAGTCAAAATAAGCTTTATGTATCCAGATGGGTACATTTTCAGCACTTTAAAATCTCGACTACGGGCCGCCTAACGTTACATTATCAGAAATGTAATATTTATGAATGGAAAAAGAACCCTAAGTGTCGCTTAAATAAACGGTTAGTACTAGCGAGCAATATTTGAAAATTCTTGGATAGTATAAATCTATATGATGTTTACAGGCCAGCGTTTCAAGCTAATTTCCAATCGAGATGGTCCATCTTCCTGTGCGCAGTGGCTTGAGTTTTCTTAACAAGTAAGCAGAGGACAGCAGTGGTGTCTTTGGTGCAGTTTGAAAAAGTTCCATATTAAATATTCCAAGAAATCTAATGTATCCACGGCGATTTTGCAAAAACTTTGTTCAGTGAAAACGGCACTGCCGATTTAAAGGCTCCACTACAATTAGCTTGGGCTTCTAGACTCGTTCAGACCAATGTACGAAGTTGCAGGGTAAACACATAAAATTTCTTAGACCCTTTAACCCTTTGGGGTTAATGTTCTTTCCTCCGACAGGTCGTAATAAATTAGAACTTCGAGACTCTGTCACCGGTTGTTCGCGACAACAAACTGTGGCTAATCCTTCTAAACGTTAGTTATCCACAGTGTGTATAGATCGGCAACTACAAGATACTATACGTAAACAAGGCATATTCTTTTCGGAGCACAAGTTTAACGACCATTTTATTACATGGCATTGAATTGGAGGGACTCTAGCACTGTGAGTTACACGTAGAATCAAAAGCTTTTTACCGGCAAAGTAATAGTGATAAGAAATAAATAATATACATCATCTGAATAATTTTACGAACTGCTGTTACTTAAATTAATCGACATTTTTTACATTTTCGAATGAATAAATATCATCGGAAGCTTAGCCGTCACATTGTGGAAGTGCAGACACCTTACGTGGTTAGCTAGATGGAAAATAGAACTTATGAGGCAACTACTGCGTCCATCCATTCTTTACTATCTTAATTCGGTGAACATCACAAAATGGGGCTAGATGCAATCCGCAGGATGCATAGGTAATTCATCAAGATGGAGCTGATGGCGAGAAACTGAACAAGTGGTTGGCCGTAAGGATGCAATCCATGGAACTGAAAACACCGTCTTTAATCTGCAGAAGCAGCGGTATTTTGACTACAAAGTCCACTCCAACGTATTCTACAAACTAATTGTCCTTTAGGTTGTTTAAGTATGCTTTTGTTTAGGCGCGGCGTTTACTACTTATGGAGAGGATAGCGAGGACCTACTTTTGTAACCCGTAGAGAGTTGCAGCGGTCAGTCTTATCCTGTCAGCTAACGTAAACATTGTCCTAGAAGAGCAAAACAGGGCAGGCCAAGTAAACCGGAATTTAACCCTACATGGTTGACTGCTCATCGCCATGAATGTTTCAAAAACATTTCGACATATCGTACAATAGAGCGGTCTCAAACGAATAAACAGGCAATTAATTCAGGTCATCTCAGTGTCGATTTCCGTGGAGAGTTCCCTGCAGTTTGTATCAACTCTCTCCGTCAGACCAACCGCGCTACTTATTATCGTAGGTGCTCCTAAAGCGGTTAAAGAAGAAGACAGAGGCTTGAGCTGAACACTGATAGCAACCCACAGGCTTAGTGCAACATCGTAAACTCCGCCATGAACTAATCTTTCTTCCTGAATTGGCAGAATCGGTGTTATGCCTTTAAAAACGAAAGTGTAATGTCTGCATATTGGAGAGTACTTACATTACCCAAGGCATGATTCTAGTGGTAAACGCTGTTTAGCTGCATTATGGCTATCTAAATAGGTCCGAATACTTTGTTTTGTCGTAATGCTTACGGACATCTTGTTCTGCTTCCATCCAATTTCTCCAAAATGCTGTGCTAGCTTTTTGTTTGAATGTTGCATTTTCTGTTTGGTAGATGCCTCTGTCCCAGCTTACAGTTCCTTAACGCCTTAAAACTGCAAAAGTCCTTTGTTAGTTCTAACTCAAAGTTGAAAGCTAAAGCGAGTGTGTGGTTAGGCATGTGATTCTCTTGAAATGATATCGAGGATTGGAGTGCATTGTGGCTGATACGAGAACACTTCATTTTTCTTGCAACTGTCAGTCGCACTTTTCTGCGTCAGGCTAATGCAATGCGGAACTCTCCCACCTAGTGCTTGAAAGCTAAAGTTTATTTATCCGTCTAGTTAACAGTAATACGTATGGAGACTTGTTTGTAGACGAGTAAATCGGTCAGGTAGTGAGTAGGAAGTAGACACATGTGGCATTGCTCTTGCAAATGAATTGCGCACTCTAGAGCTATCGCTAGGAGTTCACAGATGCACTAGGAAGGATTCTCATAATCATCTAATTTATGTCTCAACATGTGACTTTAATTAACTGACACTTTCAGTTTAGGCAGCACTCATTGGTGGTACATTGCACCTACTGGCAGTAAGTTAGTAAACCCTTGCCGTCAGTTTGAACCGCGGATCGAGAAAACGCAGGTAGATGAACAAACAGTAGCGTAATATGATAACTAATTGAGCTTGTCGACTGTGGCCATTCCATTAGTGCCAAATGTTTGAATATCCCCATGGAAAGTCTAGATCATGTTTCACATCACTTTACAGGGCCGAACAAATTCACAATACTGATGTGCCCCAAGGCAACGAGTTGGACATGTCAGCTGCCATCTAACCGGAACTAGTCATGATGCATTATACTTTATCCTTTTAGCTTCCCCCAAGTTTAGAAAGAAGTGTGGCTCAGCAGGTTAAATAGTAGTGGTCCGTTGACTCACCGAATCAGTGAAAAATCTGATCCACCTACCCAGGAAAAATTCTCTGCGTACCGGACAACCATCACTCAATCGGATGATTACGTTACTGAACACGAATTGGCTGAGGGTAGAACGAAAAGCAGACTGTTACGTGTGTTCAAAACGAAACTCAGACAGTCCGCTGTTCATTAGACTTTAAGGCCGAGAAGATTCAACACGTACTTGTCATTGGTCGAATCACTTTCATCCATCAACTAGATTGCATGTCTGTTGTACATTCGCTATTATTACTAGCTTGGTAGAAACATTAGCTAGTAAGGGAAACATCGTATAATCCTCAGCTAAATCAAATAGTGGTTTGGGTTCCATACAGATGGAAAATAGTTCAATAACAAATGCAGCAGTTGCCCAATGGGAGTTTTCTATTCACACTGAGTTACTCATTAACGAATAGTCTTTGAAGATGCAACAGCTGATCCAGTCTTACGTAAATTGGTATAGACAAGTCTGCAATGCAAATCACAACCTCAGTGAACAAGTCACCATAGTGAGATGCTACTTGAGCAATACACCTTTCCAAGTAATGCTATTCACGGTTCTTGGTATCCTTTTGCCTCCAGACCATGACAGCATCCATTTATCAAAATTTTATTACGGTCGAATAGTAATGCTTAAAACCACTCAAGCTTCCTTGTGTTTGCGTTAATTTCACGAGTCTGTTCTTCAAAGTACTCTTGTCTCCATCAAATTTTGTAGTCACTTCGCTATAGCCGTGATTCTCCGGTACAGATTTGTGTATCATTAGTGCTCGGAGAACCGTATTCCTCGTAGCAGACCACTGTCATTCTGCAAATCCATTACTGCACTCCTGCGACAACACTAGTGACGAAAATCTGCCTATCCGTCCTAAATGTTTATTTTGTATGCCAATAGAGTACGCAATGAATTTAGAACTAAGGAGTTAAAAATGAATGCATTTTTGTTATTGTATAATTTCTTAATGTATGCAACCACTAAATAAGTTATTTTACATCGGTCAGCGCTATATTCTGAACAACTCGGGCAAGATCAGCTCGGTTATGGTAGGATCCACACTTCATTGTATTACAAATGAAAGTGGTTTTTGGAGAGCCAATTCCTCAGTGCAATATTTCTTAGCTCGACCAAGTTTGTGCACAGTTGAATGAGTAAAGCCTAAAAGTATTTTGATAGATCCTGGAAATAGAAATCTTAAACTTACGACTGATATCTTCGTTATGATGACGAATAAAAATATCTCATGTCAGCTGATGTAAGTTGAAGGCATTTCGGAGGGCAAACTTATGGCGGCATTGTGTGGGAGTTGCGCACGGATTCTAAGCAAAGAAATTCCATCGGCTCATTATTAATTTGATAAATGAAGAAATACAGGTGCTGATCGGTTCAGAGCGCAGTCCCGTATCTTAATGGTTTAATCATGCAGTGCTAAGCAAAGCCTCTTCAAATTTATTTTTCCAAACCGGTCTGCTACGTAGCATTACTCTCTTGCGGTCACCACATAGATCCGAGGGTTTGCCCTGCAGTATTACCCTTTTTATTATAATTCGTTGTTGCACTTAGAAAAGCAGGTCTATGTAACGTCATCGGTTGCTTCAATAGCGCTCCTTGCGACTTCCAAGTGCACAGCTTTATCTATTTTGTAAACCAATATTCGCGACTCGTTTCATTTCAGTGGTTTTATCCGTCTGTAGTAATTTAAGCAAGCACAATTCTTTCCGTGTTGTTTGATTGAACTTTGAACCGTGGCTATAAACTCGACTAAGAAAATGTTTACTCGACCCAGTGTATCGACATGAACGGGGCCGTCTCTCAAACATAATGCATGATCATTAAAATTGTTTCAAACAAACTTAGCACATGTATGAGTATGTAGCTTTACACTATACACGAAGTGTTCTACTTGGATGAATATTGCATAATGTATGTGTAAGTAAACATTTCAACCTGTACAACTCCATCGCAATATAATCAAAAAGGTTATACAAAGTGTCTGTGATCCGTGCTAATCTACTCATTCTATGATTTCTTAGGTAGCATTTTAAAATGCCTGATTTACAACTTCACTGGGTTACCAAATGCTTGATGTTATTCCTGGTGTACAATCGTTCTCTGAA